ATCTGGTGATCAAGTGGATCCAATCAGAAGTTCAACAAGGAACAAATATATAATGGTGATGGAACTCCTGCAGCGGAAATATGAAATCTTAACTGTCTGGACTCCATGTCAAAGTTTTAACATGTATGACCTTTGAACCGTTGCATCCCGTGACTTTGCACTCACCCATTTGTCAAGTGCAGCATCAGATGAAATGGACCGGGCCGCACTGGGTTCAATAGAGGTCCCTGCTAACTGAGACAGGCCGTCGTTGCTCATGTTTGAACCAAGGTGTGTTTGGATGAGCTTCAGCTAAATGATCTCTCTGCAGATGCCACTGTCAGAGGCCTGGTTAAATACTCTTAGGGCTACTGTCACATTTGGAAATACCAAATCCAGATTCTGCTGAGTCATGAGGAAATGTCGCTTTTCTAGAGCCTTGAACCTGTCAGTAGACGGCTTGCTGGCTAGATTTCTTGAATGATGTCTCTTGACACATCACAGCTGGTCAGGGCAAATGTGGTCACTGATTCCTGCAGCTCAGCTTTTGCTCCATTTTAATGGTGAATTTCAATTCCTCAGACACCAGTTGGAAAAGCTCTCAGCTCTTGCAGGAGTGTGTCAACAACAACATTGAAAACCTGAAGTGGCTTGTGGCTCCTTTTCATGATGAGCAGTGCATGAATTGCCATCTGGGAACTTGTTTTGCTTCCTAACTCGTTTCTCTTTGAGTTCAGGAGAAGCATCCATTTCCACGGCCATCTTGCCTGCAATGCCAAGTGTCTTCTGAAAACCTCTTCTCTATACTTGAGCAAAACCTCTTTCAGAGACTCCATCAGCCTAATGGCTGTGTCCATTCACACATCTGCTGCTTGTAGTGCCTTGCTTGCAAACTTGATCTCACATAATAAGTCATAGCAAACTGTGAGGCACACAAGGAGCTCCATCCTAACAATGTGATCAGATAGTGACTTTGCCTCTGAGACAGTTTTGCTGTCTCCTGCCACTTCTCCAAGTGTTTGCAGTGCATCTAAAACTCCCCCCATCTGGAAACGTGGAGCTTTGACAGAGTCTAGCTTTGCTTCCCACCGGGTGTCACTCAGAGGCTTCAGTGTGACGGCGACAAACTCTGTGAGAACGTCCCCGCCTCTTCACAGAAGACCCAAAGATGGTGTCCAATCTTTGGACAGTGCCAAAGACAGTTAGACTCTCTGCTAGATGAGGCTGCATCACATAACAAAAGTTCAGGCTGTGGCTACAGCAGGGATGAATGGAGCCTCTGGACATCTTTGTTGTATTAAAGCTTCAGCACCCTTGTTTATTGCCCTCATATTAGAGCCATTATGGTAACTTTGCCTCTACAATCAGCCAAATCCAAGCTCAAACTCTCCAGTACCCCTGTTAGTGTGAGGCCGTTCCCAGTTGTGTCCTTCACAGCAGTGAAACCCACTAAAGACTCTGCAATAGAGACTTTTTTCTTCCCATCTGTATCAATATGGAATGATGACTGAGGCCTGCTCTTGCTTTGAAATATTCCAGTTCCACTGCAAAGTCCTTGGAGGCTTTGGTCTGGGCAGATATTTTAGCCCAAACTCTCTGATATTGAATCCAGCAGTTCATTCTGAGCACCATGTCAGATATCCAGGGGTTTGTTTGGAGTTTGCAGCCTTTCTAACATGTTCTGCCAGTGTGACATCAGATCGTGCTCTGAGCTCCAGGATTCACAGAAAAGCTCCAGTTTTAGGATTTCCTAGCTGACAATTTCCCCCTTAGTGGCAAGTTTCTCTCTGCAAGGAAGAGGATGTAGTCAATAACTGGAGCCAACACACTTCTCCAGTTGCTTTTCCAGCTGCTGGTTCTCTGCAGTTCACTATCAATAGTCTTATCGAGGCGTAAGCCACATTCTTTCCACATCAGAGAAGCGTTTATGTGACAACTACTGGTTTCATGGGGCTTCAGTGTTTTGAAAGACATGGCCAGTTATTATACCCTCCACAAGCCACGTGGCAGGAACTTTAGCTTCTCCAAAGAGCTTTCATGCAAAACAATAGACTTTGTTAGTATTTCTGGAATACAGTAACCAATCTCCTTCAACTTTCTCTCCATTAGACAGTAAACCAAAACAGTAAGCTTTGGGAAAACACCTGTTACTCTCCTCTGGTCTTGGATCTGGGCCATCAGAACCATTTTCAGCCATGATGCCTAATGTGGCCCGTTTTGTGTGGTAAAGGCCATTAGATGGATCTTGTGAATAAAGCCTCGTCTCAACCCTCTCTGCAGCTCTGCTCCTCTCTCTCCATCATCTGCATAGAAACATTTCAAGATCAACATTTTTCTTCTCTTTCCTTTCTAATGGGTTACATGTATTTGTAAAAATGATTGTTGGAGAATAATTGATCAAAACTAAATGCTGCATCCTGTAAGATATTAAATGTATTTACCTAAACAGATATTATTGTCCTCAGCTTTATTTGAGCACAAAAATGCACTAGCAGTGACATTGTAGGAACACGACTGATGATGATGATCAGCCCTTATCAATATGTTTTATTATTTTCTTCATACATTCTGCTGCAGGTGAATCTGTGGCTGTTATTTTGAAGATGCTATTGAATGGTTGCATCTGTGTCTCTGCTAAGGTGCAGGAACATGATGAGGTGCAGCTTGTGACGATATGTGTAATGGGCTGGGTGTATGTTTGGCATATGTGCAGGAATGTGGCTGGCAGCGGGTCAGATACGTGTGTGTGTGCGTTTAAATTGTCTTGTTCCTGAGCTTCATATATGGCATTTATTATTTTCCTCTTAAGTCTTGTTTTTACCAAATGGTTTGTAAAGGATTGCAGCTCCTCAGCTTCCTGATCTCCAAAGCAGCATCACTATCTGCATCATGTCTGCTTCTACATGCCTGTAAAGTCGAGGACATCTGCTGCAAAAAGTTTCATTTTTCCATTTCTATGGCATCTGCAGATTGGTTTTTCTTTTGTTGTTGTGAAATTGGTTCAGTTGGAGAAAGATTATGGTCAGTATGAACTACAAATGATTCTTGTTCATGTTCTTTCACAGGCGTTTCCTCAGATACTTGACAGACAAACCTTGAGAACCTCTGGGAGGAGAACATGGAGATGAGATTCCTGCTTTAATCAGTGGATTCATTGATAGAAAACATGAAATATCTGAGAGCTGCAGCTCCATTTTCTACAGATCTGCTGGAACATAAAATAGAAATGAAGAATTTAATCATTTCACATCAAATCTGTTCATCTTCCACAGATACAACTGAATTATTGAGCTGAACTGGTTCTAAAGGTCTGGATGGTAAAAACATCCATTGTTTTTCTGTCTCATTAGTTTCCAGAAAGAGTTGAAATGTTTCAGAAGCTTTTATCCAGCAGCTCAGTAAAGATCTCTCCTCTTTCCAACCTGATTTAGTCCATGAAGCAGAACATCTCTGCTGCTGCAGCAACAGGAGGAAACTTCTCCAGCTCTCAACTTCTACACTCTGACTGCTTGGAAACAGATCAGGGAGGAACAGCCTTTTCTCCAGGCTGCTCCTCCTGACTCTAGCGCCACCTACTGGCTGTTCAGCAGACATGAGCTGAGGAGAAAAGAAGAAACAAGGAAATAAAAACTAAAAACGACCGGTTCATCCAGTCTGAATGTCCAGGTTATGACTCAGGGACATTCTGTTCCAGTCTATGAGGGAATATTCAGTTTGAAAGCAGGAAGTCGTGTCTTTCCTCTCAAACTTTTAATGCTTGAACTCAAAACTTCTGCTCTCTTTCAAATATATACTGTTTTTTCCTCAAATCTTTTTTCTTACGCTCAAAACTTTTCTCTCCTTGGATCAAATCTCCCCTTGCAAAACTCTCTGCCTTCCTGCGAATCATTTTCTGATCCATCTTGGAACAGAATATTTTCAATGGGTTGGTTTAGATTTCAGAGGTTAGTTAAACTTTAAAGAGTCACAGGATTCTATCAAAAGAATGGATGTTGATTTTTATCAGCTTTTCTAACATTTATCTATCTAGATTGTTCCTGTATTGTTAGAATAGACAGAATCTCTCTATCTAGACAGATTCATCAGCACAGACACACTCACTAGAAGGAAACAATGGGTTTTCTTTCAGCCCGTCTATAACACGTCTATAATCCAAGAGTTATAGAATCTAATGTAACGCTTGGATCCTATTGGCTGAGCGGTTGCTAGGCGACGGTTCTTTTCTGTGGGTCCAGCAGCAGTCGTGTGGTGATATTAAGGATACAGTTGAGTTTGTTCCTTTGTTTCAGTTTTCAGATTATTTTCTGTTAGTTTATATTTTTAATAGATTCTTGTTTCTTATTTTTGTTTAGATTATTTTTTTGATGCCATAATTGCATTAAACCATAAACTTTTAGTTATTTAGTGTCAAAGGGATAAAAATAGTTAGATTTCCATCTGACCAGCAGCTTCTTGAAGCTGATGACCTTTGACCTGCTGTGGAAGCAGAAAGGATGGACTTAGTTTTTTCTCTCAGTGCTTCAGAACTTTGGTTCTGATTCATTTAAATAAATTATGATTGAATATCATGTTTACTGCTGTTGCATTGAGCTCATTTCAAAAGCTGCAGAGGAACAGATGATCTGTTATTCACATCCTGATCATTGAAACATTAGAACTGGTTCTGGTTCTGATCTATTTTTACCATCACTGACATATTTGGATCATTTAAAAATGCTGCTTCTGGGTTTAATAATCAAACATCATGCAGGTTGTAGTTTCACCACCAGAGGGAGATAAATTTCCCACCATTGAAGAGTCCAGTTGGTTCCAAGTTTAAACTGGTTCTGGTTCCATTAGAGCTGAAGAGAACCTGGATCAGCAAAATAAGAGGAGCAAAGTGTTTGTGTTGAAACTGGGAGTTATGAGAAGAATTCATGTCTTCAGTCGTCAGCAGGTAAACTTTCCTCTGACTCCCAGTCTGACCAGTTAAACCAGTTCGGGTTCATTTCTCCTCTTAAGACTTTCAGTTTAAACTCACCTGTTCAGATGTGGTACCAGTTTGGTTCTACTGCTGTTCTGTTGGGTCTCTGATTGTTGTTCATAAATTCTTCTTCAGCTGTTTGGATCATTTGAACAAACTGTAAGTTTTATTTGATTTTTACTTGAACTTTGACTTCAGGAATTTTACTGTTTCTTATTTTTCTCTCTGATGTTTAGAGAACAGAAAACCAGTGACTAGAACTCAAAGTTTAATATCTGCTGTTTGAAGGTTAATCTAAGGGATTATTACATTACTGACAATCTGAAATCCAACAGCTCTTGATGAAGAGCTGAATGTTCTTCTCTGAACAGATTGTTTTATGTTTTTATTTCCTGGAGTCAAATTCTAGTCTTCATCATTAAAGTTAAACAAACAAGTTTAAAAGTAAAATATTTTTCTTAATATGTGTTTAATTCAGTCAAACTATTAAATAGTTGAACTTTGATGGAGCAGATAATCCACTTTTAGATTTTAATAATTTATTATCTAAAACACTTTCTGTTCAGCTTGAATTAATGAATGTAAATGTTGCTCCATTTCTCCATCTAGTGGACTGATAGTAGAAGTGCAGCAGCTGATGGCAGCTTCCTCTGCCTCTCTGCTGTCTGACTGCATTCACCTGACACTGATATGAAGCAGAGAAGAGGCAATCAGAGGAGGAGCAGCTGATCTTTTCCAGCTCTAATGATGTAAAGATGATCAGATTTTACATCATCAGTGTAAAGTTTCTACCTTGATTTGCAGTGGAATCTGCAGACCTGCTCAGATCCAAAATCCCATTTTCCAGGAGTCACTGGTTTCATGTGTGTCGTTGTTTCTGCTGCTGAGATCAGAATCCAGCTGTAAAACCTGGAGGTTGAACTTTCAGCTTCTCTCCTCCAAACATCCAACAAGCTGCCAACCCTTGTTCTTGTTTCTTAGATTTTCTTTTTGTTTGCCATAATTCCACAAACCCGATAATAATTGCTTTTTGGAGAAAAGTTGAGAAAGTTGATATTTCTATCAGATCAGCAGATGCTGACCTTTGACCTGTAGTGGAAGCAGAAAGGATGGACTTAGTTTTTCACTCAGTCTTTTGGTTCAAGGTCAATTAAAATAACTCAATACAATCTTTACTGCTGTTGTTTTGAATTCATTTAAGATCTGCTGAGGAACAAATGATCTTTTATTCATGTGCTGGTCAATGAACAGCAGAACTGGTTCTGGTTCTGGTCACTTTTTAAAAAATATTTGGATAGTTAAAACCCTTCATCTGTTTAATAATCAGATGTCATTCAGGTTGTAGTTTATCCACCAATGAAGAGTCCAGTTGGTTCCAAGTTAAAACAGATTCTGGATCCATTGGAGCTGAACAGAACCTGAATCAGCAGAATAACAGCAGCAGAACATTTGTGTTCAAACTGAGAGTTATGAGTAGATTTTATGTCTTCAGACGTCAACAGATAAACTTTTATCTGACAGTTCTCAGTCAAACCAGTCAAACCAGTTTGGCCTCATTTCTACTCAGAAGAGTTTCTGATTAAACTCACCTGTTAAGGTTTGGTAACAGTCTGGTTCGTTGGGTCTCAGTTTGTTGATCACATATTCTTGTACAACTCCTTAGATCATTTGAACAAACTGTAAGTTTGCTTTGTTTTCTACTCAAACATTGTCTTCAAGAATATTAACATCTGTTTCTTATTTTTCTCTCAGAAGTTTGGAGAAAATGTTCACCTCTAATTCCACATCAACCTTTAATCTCTGCTGCTTGAAGGTTAATCTACAGGATTATTGATGAACTAGAATCAAATGCGATGAACGTGTGTTTTTTTTCTTCTCTCAACAAATTTATTTTATGATTTTTATTTCCTTCTATCAAACTTTTTTCTATATGTCTGACACCATTAAATTCAGACACAAGTTTGTCCTGCTTCCTTTCAGAAATAAATGCTGTTACAGTAAAATGTGTTCAATTCAGTCAAATTACTAAATAGTTCATTGTTAGTGGCACATTTAATCCACTTGTAGAGTTTAATAATTAACCGAAATACTTCCTGCTCATATTGAATCAGTGAATGTAAATGTTGCTCCATGTCTCCATCTAGTGGACTGATAGTAGAAGTGCAGCAGCTGATGGCAGCTTCCTCTGCCTCTCTGCTGTCTGACTGCATTCACCTGACACTGATATGAAGCAGAGAAGAAGAGCCAATCAGAGGAGGAGCAGCTGATTTTTTCCAGCACTAATGATGTAAAGGATGATCAGAGTTGATGTGCAGATGAATGATGTGTTTTCCTCTGCAGGTGAAGCTAGAAAGTGTGTGTGAGCTGATGTGGATTCAGCAGCATGGATCAGGGTGAGGACAGAGAGGAGGGAGTCCCTCCCTCTAAAACCACTCTGTGTGGGGAAGATGAGAGCCAGAGCAAAGGTCAGAGGTGAGGTCACCATCTCTAACTGTCCACAGCCCTTTTCACACAGAGTTCACTATATCAGGACAGAACAGACGTGGTGATGAAGCTGCTGCTGCTCCTCTTTGCTGATTAAGTTTTAATCATCATGTTTCTGTCAGGATCCATCAGAGACTCAAACCAGAACCAGAACCAGAACCCAGCAGTGTGTCCTTTAAGAGCGACATGTCAAAGGATGCAATCATTCTCTTTAAATCTCCTGGATCTCCACCATCAGAGAGGTGAGCTGTTTCTAACTGCTGTAACTTCTGTTTATATCTGTTATTGTGGCCATGTGATGATAGGTTCTGTTGGGTTCTGTTGTCATGAAAACATTGGACTGAATTTCAGGTTATTTTTCTTTTAATATGTCACATCGATGACATTGATGTCTCCATGCTTACATGGTCCAATAGTCAACTTAGGAACTTTGTATCATGGACTTTATTGGTCTCTATAAGAACCAAATATGTGTATTTTGGGTTTTTGGTAACTAGATGGGACAATGGCCTCCAGTATATGAACCAAGAGCTGAAAGGTGTTGAACCTTGAAAGGCATACAAGTTATTGACTGCTGTGGCAGAGTCATTGTTAACACTGTTGTCATGTAACTGGATTAATTGGATTTTGTTCACAAATGGTTCATCTGACTGGAATAAATTTGAACAACAAAGAAGATCTCTGGGATTAACTTTACATGCAATCAACAGGTATAAAATTAGCTGCTCAGCACGTCTTAACAAAACAGCAATGGATCAATGCTTAACTATTACTTACTAAACCCAGTTTCATACTGGCTACCAATGGCTGCAATGAAGTCCAACTATTGTTGGTAAATTAATAAAAGATGTTTGGAGTATTAATCAGGTCCATTTAGATCCACAGTCTCTATCCATAGCTTTTCCAGGTCCATCTAGTTAACATAGGTCTAGAAATCTCATCTGATTTCCAGATGTTTCCCTGATATCAAATAAACAATCATTCATGTAGTGATAATCCTCCCTAGAGGCAACCAGAACTAAAACATTACTGCTGATGAATAACAGGAAACAAAATATCCAACCAGAATAAACTCACTTTTCTGCTTTAACCTCTAAAATATAAAATATAAAGAACAAGAAAATCCTCAATCAGGACATAAACTATAATGTTGACATGACCTTTGAACCACACATTTAACTGCATTTTATTCTGTTTTGCATCAACTTAATTTTTCCAAATGAAACAGTCACATTAATTTACACAAATATTATTTTATCACACAAACAAAAAGGCAGAAGTGAGTTTAATGTCTAGGTTGATATTAATATTGTTGTCTAAATCTGAAGAATGATTAATGTTGAAAGAAAAATATTAACATGTATTTTGTGATTCTGATTTCAAACATCACCCAATATCTTAGAAACAGATATTTCTGCTCTTTAAAGAAGGCTGGACATTATTCAGGAGGATCAATGATCAGGAACATGTTGGAGGATTGGACCGGTTCTGATGGGAATCAATTAGAACATGAAGTTGATGAAGTTCTGTTGTGTCTCAAATTTCTTTATTTTACAAGGAGTCAAAATAAAAATGATCTTTAAATTAAACCTCCACAAAAGATTTATAGTAGATGTTTTTCTATCAGGATAAGCGAATAAAACCAGAACGAGAACCAGAACGCAGCTGTGTGTCCTTTAGGAGCGACAGGTCAAAGGATCTGTTCATTACCTTTAAATCTCCTAGATCTCCATCATCAGAGAGGTGAGCTGTATCTAATTGCTGTAACTCTGGAAACTGAACCAGTGAGAACTCAGATGTTTCCAGTTATATTTCCAGAGGTTTGATCCATTATCTACAGAAATCAGCTGCTCTGTTCTCATGAAAACACCTTCATATCTTTATCTCTGGATGTTGATGATGATGTTCTGTTTGCTTCCTGGCTCCATGTCAGACTAACAGTGGATCACATTTCCACTGGGAAATACCTGGTAAAGCCATTCTGGTCCATCAGGACTTGGTTCCTGTGTGCATTGTGAGAGCAGTTTCAGCAGGGAAGGAAAGCTTCATGATGTGGTTGGTGAGATCTGCTGGAACTCAACCAAACAGAGCTGATGTGGACCATCAGAGGTTCTGCTGGTTCTTAATGGGATCAGCAGGAACATTAAATCTTTACAACTACTTAGATCACCTGGTTCACTGCTCACATCCAGATATCACTTCATGGACCTTTACCTTCTGATTGTCTCTGTGTGGACAGATACAATGTGAGCTCACTGGCTTCCAAGGATCTACAGGATCCATTTTAAAATCCTCTCTATAACATCCAGGAGAGGATCCCACATGGACACACCCACATATTTCAGACCTCCTCCATGTCCACATCACCTCAGATCTAGTCATCAGAACCTGATGGATGTCCCACACTGTCCTGAAGACCTGTGTGGACAGAGCCTTCACTTCCACTGTTCCCAAGCTCTGGGAAACTGTCTCCACCAGCATCAGATCTGCTGACAGTTTGGACTGTTTGAAGTCCAAGTTTAAAAATCAACTTTTTAAAATGTCTACTGGATTATTCTGGTGTTACTTTTTTTATTTTTTTACTTCATCTGTGTATTTCATCTTCTCTTTCTAATCAATTTTTCTGCTTCAAGGGCTTTTATTGTGAAACTTTTGATGATTTAATTTGTTAACTGCGGGACGAATATTTCATGACTTTCTAATTGTTCCTGGTTCCTCCACAGAGTGGACCAGCAGAGGTCAGATGTCCCCAGGGGTCCATCTGTCCAGCATCAAACACAGCTGGACTCCATATTTATGGTCTGTATATAAACAACAAATACTTTTCCATGAGTTCTGTTCAAAGTCTCCTTCATGCTGCACTTTGTAGACCAGAGGACTGTCAGAATGTCCAACATCCATCAGGTGTTTGGCTCCATGATTTCACTCTGATGTTTCCTTCGTCTATTATTCTGTTCCAGCTGCTGGAGGACAACATTGTCACTTTTGTGAAGAAAGAACTGAAGAAGATCCAGAAAGTTCTGAGTCCAGATTACCCAGAACATTCAGAGAGTCAGAGAGATGATGAGGTGTTGGAAGGTGATGATGAAGAGCAGAGGAGGAGCAGCAGAGAGGCAGTGATGAAGATCACACTGAACTTCCTGAGGAGGATGAAGAAGGAAAAGCTGGCTGACCATCTGCAGAGCAGTAAGAGGATTTCTACAAAGATTTAATTTGATGGATAAATTACACATTTGCTGTTGATTCAAGAGATTAAATCACGTTTATTAACATCATCTTTAGAAAATAATTTTGCTTAGTTACCAATTTCAATTTTTGTCTTAATTTAGGACATTTGGCTGCAGTTTGTCAACATCAACTTAAATCTGTTCTGAAGAAGAAGTTCCAGTCTGTGTTTGAGGGAATTGCTAAAGCAGGAAGTCCAACCCTTCTGAACCAGATCTACACAGAGCTCTACATCACAGAGGGAGGGACTGGAGAGGTCAATGATGAACATGAGGTCAGACAGATTGAAACAGCATCCAGGAAACCACACAGACCAGAAACTACAATCAGACAAGAAGACATCTTTAAAGTCCCAACTGGAAGAGATCAACCAATCAGAACAGTGATGACAAAGGGAGGCTGGCATTGGGAAAACAGTCCTAACACAGAAGTTCACTCTGGACTGGGCTGAAGACAAAGCCCACCAGAACATCCAGTTCATATTTCCATTCACGTTCAGAGAGCTGAATGTGCTGGAAGAGAAAAAGTTCAGCTTGGTGGAACTTGTTCATCATTTCTTTAGTGAAACCAAAGAAATCTGCAGCTTTGAACACTTCCAGGTTCTGTTCATCTTTGATGGCTTGGATGAGAGTCGACTTCCACTGGACTTCCAAACAAGGAATCCAGACTGATGCTACAGAGTCCACCTCAGTGGATGTTCTGCTGACAAACCTCATCAGGGGGAAACTGCTTCCCTCTGCTCTCCTCTGGATAACCACACGACCTGCAGCAGCCAATCAGATCCCTCCTCATTGTTTGGCATGGTGACAGAGGTCAGAGGGTTCAATGACCCTCAGAAGGAGGAGTACTTCAGGAAGAGATTCAGAGATAAGAAGCAGGCCAGCAGGATCATCTCCCACATGAAGACATCACAAAGCCTCCACATCATGTGCCACATCCCAGTCTTCTGCTGGATCACTGCTACAGTTCTGGAGGATGTGGGAGACCAGAGAGGGAGGAGAGCTGCCCAGAACCCTGACTGAGATGTACATCCACTTCCTGGTGGTTCAGACCAAAGTGAAGAAGGTCAAGTATGATGGAGGAGCTGAAACAGATCCACACTGGAGTCCAGAGAGCAGGAAGATGATTGAGTCTCTGGGAAAACTGGCTTTTGATCAGCTGCAGAAAGGAAACCTGATCTTCTATGAATCAGACCTGACAGAGTGTGGCATCGATATCAGAGCAGCCTCGGTGTACTCAGGAGTGTTCACACAGATCTTTAAAGAGGAGAGAGGTCTGTACCAGGACAAGGTGTTCTGCTTCGTCCATCTGAGTGTTCAGGAGTTTCTGGCTGCTCTTCATGTTCATCTGACCTTCATCAACTCTGCAGTCAACCTGATGAAAGAAAAACAAACATCTAAGAAATCTTCATCATTTAATAAACCTAAACTAAAGTCTCTCCATCAGAGAGCTGTTGACCAGGCCTTACAGAGTCCAAATGGACACCTGGACTTGTTCCTCCGCTTTCTTCTGGGACTTTCACTGCAGACCAATCAGAGACTCCTACAAGGTCTGCTGACAAAGACAGGAAGTAGCTCACAGACCAATCAGGAAACAGTTCAGTACATCAAGAAGAAGATCAATGAGAATGTGTCTGCAGAGAAAAGCATCAATCTGTTCCACTGTCTGAATGAACTGAATGATCGTTCTCTAGTGGAGGAGATCCAACAGTCTCTGAGTTCAGGAAGTCTCTCCACAGATAAACTGTCTCCTGCTCAGTGGTCAGCTCTGGGTTTCATCTTAGTGTCATCAGGAAAAGATCTGGATGTTTTTGACCTGAAGAAATACTCTGCTTCAGAGGAGGTTCTTCTGAGGCTGCTGCCAGTGGTTAAAGCCTCCAACAAAGCTCAGTAAGGACACAGATTGTTAATGCAGTTATGTGCATAAAAATCTGCTATTGATGTGGTAAATATAGATTCATGTTTCAGATT